AGTGCAGGCAAAGAGTACGTGGGAATTGTCCAGTTGCACAATGCTATTGAAGGGGATACTCAGCTTCCTAGCTCCTAGAAACTCTGACAGGTGCCCTGTTTCAGCGACCTCCACTTATTGCTGCAGTAAAGAGGCAACTTCGGGTAAGAATTACCTACGAGAGCAAAATGATAGAATATGGTCCTGAAAGAATATTAGGAATCTTTGGGGTGAGCTGTGAAGCTGGAACTTACATTCAGACACTCTGGTGCACCTTAACTTGCTATAGGGAGTTGGTGGTCAGTTGCAGGAACTTCAGAGGGTGTGTTCTGGAGTCATGAGTGAAAAGAACCACATGGTGACAGTGCATGATGTACTTGATGCTCAGTGGCTGTACGATAACCACAAGAATGAGAGTTACTTGTGGCATGTTGTTTACCCTTTGGAAAAGCTGTTGACATCTCATAAATGTCTGGTTATGAAAGACAGTGCAGTGAATGTAATCTTCTATGGGACCAAGATCATGCTTTCTGGTGTTCTCCGATATGAGGATGGCATTGAGGTCAACCACGAGATTGCAGTCTTTACCATCTGCATGGCTATTTTGCATTGATGACCACAACAGTGATTTCTACCTGTGACCATGGTATGGTAGCCAAGATAAAGAGGGTGATCATGGAGAGAAACATGTATCCTCGAAAGTGGGGTTTAGGTCCAAAGTCTAGACAGAAGATGATGAAAAAGCAGGGCCTTCTGGACAAGCACGAAAAAACTACAGATAACACCCCTCCCACCTGGAAACAGGACTACATTGACTACAGTGATTCTGGAAAGAAAGCACTGGTTGCTGAAGCAGTACATGCCCCTCAGTTAGCTGCTGAAGCAAAACATCATAAAAAGGAAGCAGGAGAGTGAAAGTGAGTATAATAAGACCCCTCCAGTAGTTCCCCAGGTTGATGAAGAAGAAAAAGAAAAAGAAGGATAAGAAGCCTAAAACTGTGCTAGAAAGTGGGGGTGAGGCTGGAGATGGGGGACAGTGATACCACCAAAAAGAAAAAGAAGAAAGTGAAAGTAGTAGAAGAGATATATAAATAGTTAAAGCCATCCGAAGCATTATGTCCAGCTGGGAGGAGAAATGAAAGCCTTACTGAGAGAACATTTTGTTGAGGGAGTAAAACAGAGGTACCAAGTAGAGTACAGAGCGCTGGTACACTTTAGCTGCCACTTGTGACCTCAGTGATTAGGGTGTGGCCCTCTCATCCTGTCCTGTCCTGTTTTAAGGAGATAAGTGATGAAAAAGCAGGTTTTTGCCACTGACCCCTCTTGCTTGAGTGTGGAAGCACACCTTCAGACACGGCACTGCCTAGGTAACTCTCTGCAGCTATTTACCAATGGCCATTTTAAACAATGCCATAGACAGTCTTCTCCTAGTTTGCCTTTTTTAATGTCTGTAAAAATTAAATCTGCCAAATAAAATGGTATAGAACCTTCTGTGATTAAAAGAAGAATATAATTTAACATGTTCACTGGGGAAATCTTATCTCTAGTTTCCTATGAGGGCTCTTCTTTCCTGGTATTAGATATGGGTCTGGTAGTGTCCATGGTTTTTGGGCTAGCACTCTCTGTGCATTGTACACAAAATTTATCCAACTCCATTTGACTACTTGTGTTTTCAGGGGAAGCCAAAGCATTCCTATACCCTTCTGTTTTAATGTTCATTTTTTTTGAAGAAGTTGTTCATTGCTCAGAAAAGAATGTAATTTGTAGTTTTAAAAAGTATTTCTTTTGGGTTTGCTAATTGATAATCTTAGGCTGGCAGAACAAAAATGAAATATTTTTATTTAAAAAATTATGGATCTTTTTGTCCTATTTGAAAAAAAATCTGACTGCTGAAGCAAAACTCCAAAATACTGCATCATATTTTCAGAACTCTCATAGAATTCAAAGCACTCTCACTCACTTCATTGGACCCTTGAAGTCACTCACCCACACTATCTACAAATGAAGTTGATGTATTGTTGGGGCTGGGGGGAAACAACTCATGAGAGCCCAGACTAAACACCAAGTCTCCGCAAAACCCCCCACCTTGTTTCATATGATTTGGGAACAAGAAATTTCAACTATATGTAAATTCTACATATAAGTGCAAATGATCACTTATTATCACAAAGTTCTACATGGGCAAATTATTTGTGAGAATTTATTACAAAACCAAAACCTTTTGCAGGGCAGTGATGGTGATGCCATTACTTCCAGAATTTAGGAAGTAGAGGTACCAGCAGACATATTTCTGAGATGGAATCAACCTTGTCTAAATAGCGAGTTCCAGGACAGTCAGGAATATATAGAGAAATCCTGTCTCAAGAAACAAAAACAAAACCTTTCCTTGATTGAAGGGACAATGACATCCTAGATAAGTGAATGAGAAGAATTTCCATTCAAAACTGAAAATAATATAAATCCATCACTTGCAAGACACAGTTGCTATTCATGGTAGGAGTGCTATGCCCCTGAGGTGGTCATGAAAGACCTGCAGGAGTTTCCCAAGAAGCCCATTCTTGGCATTCACCGAAGCTCCTGACTACAAAAAGCCTACAAAGAATTCTGCCTTCTGTGAATATCACCATGCACCTACATGTACATGTTCATGAGAACTTGGACTGTACTAACCACACAAGAGTCTTAACATACATCAGCAACCACTGTTAACAGCCAGAAGTACCTCTTTAACTCGTCCTGTTCTCTCTTGGGCCAGGTTAACCCTGTCCAACTCCAGGCTTCTACAGAGTTCTCTTGGATGAGTAACATCCCTTAACCCGCTCTAAAAATGAATTAATAGTTCCCCTCCTCACTATAGTGGGCTGGGGTACATAGCCAGACGTAAGAAGAAGTTATCAAGCAACTGGCTCAACTCATCTCTAAGCTACTAAGTCACCAAACTCTCAATTCTATGGCCATATCTCACTAATTCATTATCAGAATCTTCTCAAGAAGAGAGGGCATTAACTCTCTTTGGAACTAGCCATTCTTATCAGTTGCCCTGTCTCTGACACAGTTGAGTTCTTGCTGGTTTCCTGCATCCTTGACAGAATTGATGAAGCTCCACTAACTTCCTCAGCTTACAGGCTACATTTTTAATATCGTAAAATTAGGGCTGGTATGCTAACTTTCAGTAACTATAACAAAATATCTGAAATAAATCAGTGGATAAGAAGGAAAGGCTTGTTTTTAGTTTTGTGTATCCCAAAACTGAAGTCCTTGGCCACTTAGCCCTATTGCTTCGGTCTATGGTGAAACAGAACATCATGGTGGAAGTGTATGCAGAGACAAGTTGCTTACCTCATGAAGGTACCCTTCCCAGTCACCTAACTTATTTCCACTACACCTCACCTCCTAAAAGTACTACCACCACCCAATAGCACCAATGGCTGGGAACCCAGTCTTCATCACATGGGTATCTGGAGATATTCAAGATGTGAATTATAGCCAGGTGTTGGCACACACCTTTAGTCCCAGCACTCAGGAGACAGAGGCAGGCGAATCGCTGTGAGTTTGAGGCCAGCCTCAAAAAAAATGCAAATTATAGCAACTGGACTAACTGATGTGAGCTACTTGTAAAATAATACAACCCAAGGCTGTGCTAAACAATAGTGTTTAAGCAAATCAGCTTCTTGAAGTAGACTCATTGTTTTTTTGTCTTTTTTTTGGCTACGCACTAGAAGGAAACCAAACTGCAGCAGCAGATTCCACAGTTCTGAAAAGAGTCTCTGAACTTCTTGTTTTAGCAAAAGGCCTGGCAGATTATACAGACAAATCCGGCAACTTTAAGAGAGTTGGTCTTTCTTCCAGTATTTGACTAATGACAAAATTGCAAAAGCAAAGTTGGCTCCATTTTTCTCATGCCTGCAGGCCAACTGCTCTGCAGGGATGGTATCATCATGATGAATCAACTGTAAAACACACCCATTCTCCCTGACTGAAAGAGGCAGCAATCAAGCTGCAGGAGGGTCACCCTAAGCACTCAAAATGGAAGAATATAGGCACAGAGGAAGCTAAGTCAGACCCCAGTCAGCACTTCAGATGATTCACAGCAGAGAATGACCAAATAGGAAGACTGTCCCAGGTTAGTTTTGACATTTCTTTGCATATCTGGCTGAATATAATCTTAGGTCTCAACAAAACTCAACACACTGAAGATAAAAGCTAGTTAATGACAACTCCCCAAGGATAAAAGCAATCTCTAGATTTATGTGAGTTGTGCTTGGCTGTACATTTTCATTGCTGTTTATACTTCTGTCCTTTCATTATCTTAGATGCTTACTTTATCACATGAAGAAGTTTGCTAGCCCAAAGTTCATATTCATTTAAATTATGGTTATTTTAAACCAGAATTTTGGCTTATTTTTATAGCAGGAGTGCAAGATTCCATTCCTGTGGAATAACTGAGACCCAGCATCATCAGTCACCATAGCCACAAACATTTGATTCTCAAGTAGGAACTTTACTTGCTTTTTTATCTTAAAGAAAAAATGAACAAAGAGCATTCTTTACTGATTCATAAAACTCACACATTTCATCTTGCTAGACAAAGGACACCAAATCGTAGACATTCTCTTCGGTTTAGAAATGAAGAAACCAAAGCACAGAGGGATTCGGTAGACTCCAGCTCCCCCAATTTAAGAGTCTAAAGATGGCATCACAGAGCATACAATCCTTTATTGTCCCAAGCATTCAGGTTAGGTACTTGTTGACTAAAACCAGAACAGAAGAATGGTATCCCAAATCCTGAAGTGCTGAAGCCTGGAGGCACACAGTAATTATTGGTTTGATCACAAATTTCTGAGGTCAAGATGACTTCCATCTTACACTCGTGTGAAAGTAACATGGAACGCACTTTCAGAGCTGACTGTGGTCCATGGGCTGCTGGAAGATGGCCACTTGTGGTTCCATGCATTGAAAAGAAGTGCTGCATGTGAGTCCACAACTCTATGAAGCTGAAACTTTGAGCAAAGTGCACGTACCTCCCAGCCTTCAATGTGTGACTGCCACTCTTCCAAAACTTCCAGTTTTTCCATCTGTCTCTTGGCCTCGTTTATGTTGGAACAGACAACAGACAGCTTTCATGGCTTGGAGGGCTTCCATCACCGCTGCGTAGTCACTGTGTTTCCGGGGAGTCCGCTTCAGTAATTCCTGTTTATACACAAAAATAAAACCACCCTTTGATCTCCAGTTCTGTGGTGTATACAGCAGGTTCAGACTGACCAGGAAATGAAAACGACAAAGACTGTGACAGCCACGCTGCTAAGTGACATCACAAACTCCACTAAGATAGGGATCAAAAGCAAAAGGTCAAATCAGTGAGTAAGCGTTACTTTAATGCTCATTTCTGCAGTCACCGTAATTTCCCCCTCAAACTTAACCTGTATTTTAGAAATGTAACGAGGTTTCTTTTTCTTCTTTCTCTATCTCAAATTATCAAACATCACACCTGAATCCGATCATAGTTTTTATAAAACTGATTTTCATTCTAACAGAAGCATATCAATCAGTACACTTTAATTTCCTTTTCTTAGAGTCTTTAGCAGATCTTCAAAAAAAAATGCACCACAGTTTCAAAACTGAATTAAATTCCTATTTCTGGTATCTTTTGAGAAACTATAAAGATATGCCATGAATAAAGCAACACTGTATATATTTTACGCTCCAGCCAAAAGAATCAATTGGCCAGTTTCATAGCATCCCACCATCAAGGGAGCAAGACATGTCATCTCCATCGATTGCTCTTGTTCCTTCTTGGTAAAGCAGTAGCGTTCCATGAACTTGGAAGCTTCCTTATTTAATTATCAGTTTCTGCTTTGGGGATGGAAATTTTATTTATTTTTTTCTTTCATTTCAATATCAAAAGCGGAATAATCTGCAATCTTTTAAGTATATTAAGTGGTCTTCTTAGCTGTTGTTTGGGAGCACAAAATTAAACATCTTCACCCACTGTCTAGACAACTTTGACCACATCACTTTTTAATTAGTCATTTGTTTCTTTGTAGCAGTTGTCATTATCAAGGCACTAACACAATTACAGAAACCCTGAAGCATAATTTCAGATGTTTTTTTTGTCAACATGCAATGGGAAAGCAGGCAATTCTTAGTTGTTTTACTGTTGAATACTTTGAAATAAACTTTGACCTTACATTTGATAGGATCCAACACCAAAGGGATACACATCACATTATTCCCAACATGAAGCTGAAATTTTTATTCTGGATTCCAGTCCATAAGAGAGACATGTAAGTGAGCCTTTTTAAATTATGTGAAATGTGGATATCAATCTCCAGGAAAGGATGTGGACCCTTGGAATGGTACCCAATACTAATCTGAGGAATTAAGACATGAATTAGGTAATGTGAAATAAACAAAAGCAAAAGACAAGTCATGATTCTGATGGTCACTCGCTCTCAGATTCTCACAGTTCTTCACAACATGACACAGTGTATTTAATACTTTCCTCTACATAAATACAAACACTGAAAAAGAATTCAAGTCTAATCTTTCAACGTTGGTCTATCTGTATACATAAGCAAATGGCTGGCATTAGCCGATCTGTATACATATAAGTCTTTTCCTTCTGAATGAAATAATCTGCCCCAAAGAGCAAGGAAGTCAACTCTGCTTCATATTTGTCAACTACTCTCTTCATTTGAGACAGGAATGTATCTATGATGCTTTTTTTGTTTTTAAGAATTAAACACTTGCCGGGCAGTGGTGGCATATGCCTTTAATCCCAGCACTCGGGAGGCAGAGGCAGGTGGATCTCTGTGAGTTCGAGGCCGGGCTGGACCGACAGCCTCCAAAACAATACAGAGAAACCCTGTCTCATAAAAAAAAAAGAATTAAACACTTGAGGTCATCCCTGATCAGTCATGAGGATTTTAATACAACCTCTTGTTTATGATGTATTTTTAACCTTCCCTTCTGGTCCTTATAATAAAGGAAATACCTGAGATTCCAACAAGGGATCGGTGATAAGTTTATAAGCACACTGAGTCCCTTAACTGAAGACCTGCAGGGATGCTCAGAACATCAGAACCTATAGAGCCATGATGGTATTGATGCCGCATGTTACAGACTGTGTCAAAACTGTACAGCTGAAGGTCCCTGCCTTTGCATAAGTCTTTCCATGGCTTAGCCAAGCAACTTTAGATATGCTTTGTAATAAGAAATTGTTGTTTTTTTAAAAAATGTTTAAAATGTTTTTTATAGGCGACAGAGGTGGTTCAGTCCATGAAGTGACTGCTGCATTAGTATGAGGACCCGAATTCCAATCCCCAGAATCTGTGTCAAAAGCTGGGTGTTGTGGTCTGCACCTATAACCCCACTGCTACAGACAGATCCAGAGCAGAGTTGTGAGAATCCATGACACTCTTGGTCGCCTAGCCAAGTGGGTAAGCTTTAGACTCAGTGAGAGACCTTGCTTCAAAAAATAAAAGTAGAGAGCAATTAAGAAAAGATAACCTGAAGGCAGGTAAGCACCCTGACAGGCAGACAGCCATGAAAGAGGTTATAGGTAAACAGTCAGATGATCAACTTCCGGATTCTTCACTCAGAACAAAGGCTGTGCACACACACCCCAACACACACACACACACACACACACACACACACACACACACACACACAGAGCCCCATGCGTATCCAGACATTCCTAAGGCTGGCCCTGGACATGTGTCACTTCCCATGAGGCTGTGGGCCTAACAGCTCCCTCTTCGTTTTTTAAATTGACTGTCCCAAAATAAAGGATGGGACCCCTGGTCATACCACAAACACAATTTAAAAACTTCAAACCCTCCCTGGGGTTTGTATTTCTGGATCACCTCTGCACTTCTTGGGAGTCTCCTGTGGGTGGGTAGCTTCTTCACTTTTAACAAAGTTTGTTGCCTGCTGTGTCAGCAATTCTCCCTGCCGAGACAGTAACATTTTTGGAAGACTTGCCTGGGAGTCCTCCTGAGGATCACCTAAATACCAAGGTCACAATAAACTGAGTCAAACCATGAAAGCATGTCATGGGGTGACCACTGCGTTTGCTAGCACCCTTCCCCCATCCTGGGACAGGAACACCACCACTGTTAAGGTATGGTGGAAACTGTAGGCTAGTAATGTTCTTTTTCCCATTGCTTTGATAGGGAGAGTTCACTTTCAAATCTAGCTCTACTGCCTTTGTTTCAGAGTGAAAGAGAATTCTTTCAGATAGCTTTGCCTGAGAGTGTTATGCTTGCACCCACTCTGTGGGCTGAGGCTGCAGATCTCTTAGGCAGGCAGTTGGTTTGAAAGAGACTTCCTGAAGTTTACTCTGATGACACTGACTTTTTTTACCTCTATCCTGACAATCACAGTCTCCTCTGACTGGGCAGGGCTTTTTAGGGTCTTATCTAATCTTCTCTGGCTGGGTAGGGTCTTGTTAGGGTCTTATCTAGTTTTCTCTAACTGGGTAGGGTCTTGTCTTATCCAGTCTTCTCTGACTGAGTAGGGTCTTGTTTTATCTAGTCTCCTCTGACTGTATAGGACTTTGTTAGGGCATTATCTTGTCTGACTTTCAACATTCTTTCCTTAGGGTCTGAGAACTAGATTTGAGGGGCCTAATCTGGAGACTACCTTCATAGGGTATAAACCATTCTACAAAGACCTGGTCTGGGGGCAACCTAACTGGGGTTCATACTGATTCACTGGTAAATAAGAAAGGTCTCTGTTACAATTCCTGTCTGCTCTCATATTAAAGAAGATGACACATCAGTGGACTATGGCTAAAACTCTAGCCTAGGGAGAGATGATGTGGAAAAAGGAGGGAAATTAGAAGAAAAACTTCACCAAGAAGTCCCTAGAAGTCAATAAAAAACACCCAAGAATCTATCCTGAGCTCTGGGAAGTCCAAGGCCCACAGTAACCTACATATCCTTGCCTTCTCCCAACACCCAAAGGGGCTTGCTTCATCTCAGGTAAGAGTCAGGAGAGACAAAAGGAGTTATGTTTGTCCAGGCCTCCTTTACCCTGGCAGAACTGAATGACATGAAGTAAGAACTTAGAAGTTATATGGATAATCCAGACAAGTGTTATTGAGCTTTTGAACAACTAAACCAGATATATGAAGTATGGTGCAAAAAATGGAATGATGTTATTAAAACAAACATTAGCCCTTTAGAAAAGAGAAGAGTTAGATCAGGTTCTTCAAGCCAGAGTAACTTCCTCACTGACCAAGGGGCCAAAGTGGATAAGGACTTCCCTATGGGGGATAAGGCTAACCCCTCTCAGAAGTCCCTCTGAAATGCAAATGACCGCATGAAGAATGGAAAGGACATTTGCTTTACTGTGTTGTGAGGGGTCTTAAGAAGGCTAAGGTCAAAACTCTTTATTAGTCCCTGTTATACACTACAAGAAGACAAGGAGGTTCCCACTGGGAAATATATCCATGCACTCTGAATCACTGAGGATGCAATCCACACTCTTAACTCATCCATCTCAGACACTCATAAAAACTACAGACACTAGTGGCTGTTCCAGACAAAACACTAGCAGGCTTTTTTAATTTGTCCATGTCACAAACTCTGTCTTTTTATGATAAAACCATGAAAAGAAAGGAACAAGGACCAGCACTATGGGCAGTTAGTGGTCACTACAAGAGCCAACCAGATAGATGTTCCCTCACACCTCCCCCATACAAGTCTAAGCCTAAGGCTTACTTCCTCTGTGTACAAGAAGGTCACTTCCTGCTGGGAATGTCCTCAGAGACTTCTTGGACCCTGTCTCATCTGTAAGGGAAATCACTGGCAGCAGCCATGGCTTCCAGCCCAGGTAGGCTTCCTGGGAATTTGTGACTGACTGTAGGAAGCATAGGATTAGATTCATGCCTGAATAAGGAGTGAGACTCTTAACACTGACCTCTTTCGCCTGGTTCGTGGTCCTGAAGGTTTACAACAATTCAGGGTATATCAGGCCAACCCTCAGAATGATGTCTCATTCAATGGCTTGCCTGTTCAGGGGGAGAACTGCACTTTTGTCATTTTTTTCATAGTTCCCCATACTTTACTCCTCTGTTGAGAAGAAACCTTTTGTCTAGACTCAAGGTCAGACTGCTTCTCCCTCCAGGGCAGAACACTATTGCTTGCTTGTTGGAGAGTAATGTCAAGACTTCAGTGCAGACA